AGCTTCCTCCAAGGCTGAGCTGCCCTGCAGGATCCCCCCTCTCCTTATAGACGTTTACATCCCAAGGCAGCTGGAGGGAGCAGCTGGCCCTTTCTAAAGGTCCCCTCCTGCATGTTCCCCCCTCCTTCCTCCCCTGTCCCGGTGTCCCCAAGCCTCCCCCCAAGTCCTGCCACCCCATGCCCAGCTAACCCTGCCTCCCCCCCCCAGCCTGGGCAGCTACGCGGCGCTCCACGGGGAATTCTACTGCAAGCCCCACTTCCAGCAGCTCTTCAAGAGTACAGGCAACTACGACGAGGGCTTCGGGCGCAAGCAGCACAAGGAGCTGTGGGTGCACAAGGAAGTGGAGAGCGGGGGGACCAAGACGGCGTGAGTGTGGCCAGCCCACCCTTCCCTGGAGCCCCGCAGAGACGGCACGGAGCGGTGCTGAGCTGGGGGCTAACTGAGCTGATGGAAAGCAAAGGCGACCCAAGGGCCTGTGGGTGGGAAGGGGAGGGAAGGGGGACAGCCCAGCCCTCTCCGGAGGATGCTCAGAGGGGTCCTACAGACCATAAGGACAGGGCAGAGTGACCGGGGTGGAGACCCCCCCCACCCAAAGCCCTCTCTCTGCAAGCCCCCCTCCCTGGTAAGATCAGACCAGAAGCCCCCAGGGGAACCCCAGTCCTATTCCCACATTTCAGACCTGCCACCATGGAAAAGGAGATGATCTGGGGGGGCTCGACCTTGCCTATAAGTCAGAGCAGAGCTCCCAGCTCCTGCCACACCAATCCTGCCTTGCTGGGGCTCCAAATAAGGAGGGTCTTTGGTTTACATCAGCTCAGTTCAGCTGGGATTGTTCAGCCTTAAGGATGTCGCCCTGCGACCGTTTATCAGTGTCTGTCTTTTTTATATTTGCCTTCGACTGGTACGTTCTGCGCTGGAGCCCGGCACGGCAGCTTCACGCGTGACACTGCGCCATGCGCTCTTTTATTTTTGTAATACAAGGTTTCTGAGCCTTCCCTGTCTTGTCCTGTGTTCCCGGGGTCCTGGGGAGGTGGGAGTAAGCATCAGGTTTGCCTCTTACTGCTCAGTGACTGTGGAAAGCACCTCCACCCAACAGGATGGAGAAATTATTCCTCTTGTAATGTTCTGGTCGAGGCAGAGCAGCCCTTTGGGGACCGAACGCAGGATTTCGAATCGCACGCCAGCATTACCACCCTGAGCTACACACCCCAGCTGTAACCGCACGCCAGCTCCCACGTGGAACCCAGATCATCCTCCAAGGGAATTCACCGTTGCTTGAATTAGATCCACCCCTCTGCCCTGCACACATTTTGTGGCTCACTTGCTTCCCCTCCGTGTCAATAAATATCGTTCCCTGCCTCTGGGACCAGATGCTGGCTCAACTCACGCTGCAGGTGGTGCAAGGGGCACGACGGGCACCAGAGCTGGGGGGACTGGGGCAGGTCTGGTTTGGGTCACCCCCGTCTGCTGAGCTGTGATGTTTGGACAGCACAGTCCGTACAAATCAACGAGCCCACCAAGAGCTGCCGGGCTGGAGAGCCTAATGCAGGGAACCAGGGAAAGCAGGTGAGTGTGGTTTAATTATCATTTACCTCCTTCCTCCACGCACAATTTGTAAGACTAGCTTGAAAGAGTAAGCACACAGGAACGCCACATCTTTCAAACGATATGGGAATTAGGTTTTTCAGAGCCAACACAGGACAGAAAGTACCAACAGAGCAACAGCTTCTGAGATCCACAGCGAGAGCCCCTGTTCCATCACTGATAACACCTGCTCCCGCTGCGCACGAGAGAATCCAGACACAGCCACGGAAACAGGAGCTAAGGATTGAGAGGGAAAAAGATGGGTACGGGTGGTCCATAGGAGTCCCAGGGGGAACAGATGGTACATACAGAGACGTGTTCTTAACCCAGGTCACTGGGGTCCTCCTCCCTTAATGCGAGTTCCTCTGGGGCTCTGGGCATGCGCCCGCAGCCGGGCACCATCTCGGCAGCTCTCCCACGCTGGCAGCCGCACCGGACCTGGGGGAAGAGAGGTGCTGGATGACCCCAGGAGCCTGATGTCTCTCTTGTTGGCCAAGTTATTTCTTCTTTTTAGTTAAGAGCTTTTTAAAGCGCAGGTCTGTCAGCTCTTCTGGGTGGGGATTTACATCGCCAGCACAGCGGGGACCGCACACAGAGACCCTGGCAAGGCTCCAAGCCAGTTTCAGCCTCACCAAGTGCTTTAACTGTCCCCATCGCGCAGGTGCTGCCGGCTCCTCGCACCGACACGCAGGCGGCAGATTTACACCACAACAAAAGCCGCTTCCTGAGCAGCCCTGCAGCATCCATTGTCATACAGCAGAAACCAAGCGGGCGCTGCTCTGCGGCGAGGGTCTCGTGATGCTGTTCGGGTTGTGGCCCCTTCCTTCCCAAGGCTGGCTTAGAAAATGAAAGCAGACTCCTCTGTTTCGTTTCCTGTTTCTTGCTGGCCTCACTTCCCGATTCTCTCACCTCGGCAGGCTGCTGCTCTTTGCTGCACAGCAGGGCAGCGGATACAAAGCATTTTTAACGATACCAGGTGATTTTGGGGTTGGGGAGGGAGAAAAAAACCCCAGCTTTTAAATATTGGGCTTCCAGTTAAAAAGAGACCATTAGGCAAGAGGAACAACGATCCACTTCTTCCCTCTCCAATACTGAAATTCAGGATTTTGTCAAGACTCACTATCCTCTACCTACCCCCTTCTCAGCCGGGCACAGCCAACTCTCGCTGATGTAGCACAAATGGGGGGAGCACAGGCAAGCACAAGAGTTGTGAGATCTCCAGCCCGTTCTACGATCGCTTTCTGATTTTGAGAGCAGGAACGAACGACCAGGCTATACATCACCGAACAGGCTGCAGCAACTGACCCAGGCACCAGGGCAGCGATCTGATGAGCATCAGATTTACGCGGGGCAGAGACGGTCGATGCAGCTTCGTTTCGCAGGATGGCTGCTGCACACAAAGCAGCAAACGGCGAACTCCTGCTCCTCTGATTAACACGCCAGGCTCTGCATGCAGAGAAATCCTAGCGGTAGCACACTTGGGAAGATGTTTTAAATGCTTTGAGCTTATTTTATCTGCCTGATCCACTTCAAAGGCAGTGCACTGCACAAATGACAGCGCACGCTTTCCCAGGCTGTGCCAGAAGCAGCAGCGCTAGAGAAGCCCCAGCTTAATATGTCCCCAACTGTGAAGTTGCTATAAAACAGATTAAAAAAAAAAAAAAGGCCAAAGCATTGTCTTTGTCCCTAACGTTGAGCTAAAATCCAGCTGATTTTATGATGAGAGCTAATCTCACGCCCCGGGACTGGAAACCTTTCTGAATCACCCATGCCCTTCACGTACCTTTCAGACAACACATGCAAAAATCCTGCTTCTGCGCAGACATGGTGACTTCTTACTGCAACACCCTCACTTCAAATTTCCATCTTTAAGCACCAGGGCTGTCTTTTCTCGCTCCAGCAGCCTCCCTTGACCGGCAGGCTAAACCAGCACTCTCTACATACGGAGTTACCAGGATGATTCAGGATGTTCAGAGCCCACAGCTGGGGGTAAGATTAAATGGTGTAAATACCCATGAAGAGAAGGAGGACCACAGGTTCTCAGCATATATGAGCTGCCAAACACTTTAACAGCTTTTTATTTGAGATTTCGGAGTGTTCAGAAGCCAGCCATGGGCTCGGGAAGCATTCTGCGCTCCCCCTGCTGAGGCTGAGCAGCACTGCACAGCGGCACCGCACAGCGGCACCCCACGCCAGCCCGGCACCGAGATGGTTCAGAGCCAGAGACAGAGGCTGTCCAGCCAGCTGGGTTCAGAAAGAACCCTGAAGCATTTGGCAAGCGAAGCAAGAGCTAGAGAGAGGGATACTGCCTGCAACCTACTGGAGTATGCTGCACAGAGCTGGCACCCATTGTGCTGAGATGAGCTGCTTCAAGTTCCTTTCAAGCCATGACCTGGTCCCTGGTGGGGCTTCTTTCTGCTGCTCTAGCACATAGGAACCAGAGAAGCTGCAAAAGTTGCAGCCGAAGCAGAGGATGCTACACAGCTTGCCCAGGATTGCAAGGCAACGCAGCGAGAGCTCAGGACCAGCAGCTTTAACAGCCATACAAGGGCTGTGCCAGGGTACATCGATGACGGCTGCAGCACTTAAACCAGCCCTTAGCTGACCACAGAAAATGGTCACCTGCGCTTCCTCCCCTCCGAAGCACAGATCTGGCCTTGCCACCGAAGAATCAATACAACTGATAAGCAACAAATAACCTTTATCCATGTTGCACACACCACAGCTTGCTTTTGCACTTCCACACGAGCTTGAGGCTTCTGTCACCTACCTGCCTTGTAGCTCAAGAAAGGATACAGACCCTTTACAGACTCTAAAATTCCAGCCGACAGATTAACGTAATAAAAACTGTTTTGGGGAAAAAAAAAAAAAATAAAAATCAGTGAGAATCCATATACATCCATACCATCCAGATGTCCAGTTTTGGACAAGACACAGAGCCCTAGGCAGAGATCAACACCAGAAGAACAAGTGAGATGACAGCAAACCGTGCCAGCATTTCCTGGAGAGAATGCAAGACACCCACACCCAGGCAATATTAAATCCAGAAGACATTGTTCCTAGTTTAGACTTTACTGTCCTGATAGAAAGAGACACGGTGGTGTAGCACAGCCAGCCTCTTTAGAGATTTTAAGTTATCTTTGCTTCAGAACTGGATTTAAAGAGGAAACATACCTTCAGTCACCTTCCCCTGAGCCACACTATGCATGTAACACGAGAAATAAAGAAGGCAGCAGATTTTTGGCTGTGTTTCTTTTGTCTGTTGGTCAGTGTTTCATGGCTGACCATTTCCACCTTCAAGCCTCCAGCCATTTCCCTCTCCCAGTCCCTCCTCAATCTGGCACGGGAACTCCAGTCAAGGGAACGGAGAGTTTCTGAGCTCTTCCTTCAGCAAAGGCAGGATGTTCGAGTTCTAACACACACAAGGAGGGTGTCAAGAAGCAGTGGGAGGTGGTTATTTCTGGTTCCACACGACATTTTTGTTCTGGGACAACTTCACTTGTCTGGTTCTCATCTGTTCGGGAACAGCACACAAGCGCCACGCATGTACTTGTTCCATGAGCCGGGGTTTCTATTGCATCAGCTCGTTAACCCATTTATTCTTGTTCATATTTTATATTAACAAATATTTATGTGTTTAATTAACATAGCAACTAGCTACACCATGTCCTGGGAAAAGGCGATTAGAGGGAAGGCTGTGGTTAGGTCCCATGAGGCCAGCATCTCAGGGGACCACGGCGGCATCCAAACCACTGCTTAAGTGACCGCGACACCAAAGACTCGGAG